AGTCATTTCAATCATTGGTGTTGAAGTCCAACTAATGTCCCTTTCCCTTGCAGATGTTCAGGACCCTCCAAGAGCTGACTTTAGGCTTGTGGACATTATTCTAACAGCCAGAAAAATATCAATACTAATAGACTGTAAATCTAGTTATCATATGCCTCATTCAAAATTAGTGAGATAATAAATACGCAAGCAGATTTTTCTGAAATGTTGACATGAAAGTAAAACACATGTTATAGTAAGAGTTTAATAAGATTATGTAGAATAGCTATTCTCAATTATCTTTTGTCCTTGTATTTTCCAGTAACTGATATCAATGTAATTACCATCTATTTGATTAAATTTTAATTAAATACATAAGCATTTAATAATCCATCATTAGACATTTTTCTGTGGTACCATTATACTAAACAAATATTTAGGTCTGATTTTTCTTTAAAGTAGCAGCAATTTAAGTTATGCTTTTATATCTGCATTTAAGGCCTCTATCTAGCAGTTCAATTTCAGAACCACTAGAAGTCATGTAACTCCCGGTAAAAGACAACAATAAATTACTTAGTAATGTTAACAGTTACAGGATTAGGTGCAGAAGCTGTAGAGCTTATGAACAGCACTAATTCTGTTCCCCAGCCCTCTCTTGCTGTTTGTGCTTCCTCCTAAACATTTGAAGTCTCAACTTCAGTAAACTTAAAAAAAAAAATCATTAAAAGTATAAAAAAGTAAATTGTTCACCTACGTTAACCACTGGAAAAAACTTAACTATCCGTCTGCTGATTTCACAAGCTTTTTTCTATAGCCAACAGACACACTCCAAGAATGAGGATGAGATTTTCAAGGACATTAAATGCAAGTACAAGTTAACAGCCATAAAAATCTGGCAGGCAGCTACCTAACTCTGGTATAGTTTTGAAAAGTTCTTCCTTAACATTCAGCCATATGCTATACATCCAGAAGAAAAAAAAAAAAAAAAAAGAAGCCTTATACCATTATTCCTTTTCTATCCCACTAAATTAACTTTAAAGGTATTCTTAAAAGAAAGTAATCTTTTCCCAAAATCTGTTTAATTAATTCTCTTCTAGTCTTCTGACATAAAAATGAAATAAGGTCAGCCATCTTAAAGTATTGGCACTTGAACATCTCCTATCAAAACCTCTAGTAAAATTCAGGTGACATCAACTATGCACCAGCTTTGATTCTATTAAAAAGAAATAACCTTATTTTTTTATTATCATATCACAGACACACAGAGAACACAGCTGGAACATAGGGCGAGTGAACTAACGAACATAACACACAGAAACACACATTACCCTGTAAATGTGTATGTATAATGAAACCTTTCAGCAAATTAACCAGGGGTCGTAAGAAAATTCTGTATGATTTCCTCCTGTCATTGGGATCAGAAGTATGAGAACTGTGTAGAAACCAAGTATTATATATCTTTAGTGATCCTAAAGTGAATATATATTTTTAACGTTTGGAAGAAGCAAAGTGCAAGTTACTTTTACAGCTCCACTGAGCAGTCCAGCACTGGTTCCACTGCTGAGCATCCACCTCCTGAGATTACTAAAAACCAGAAGTAATAGAGCACTACGATAGAGCTCAGCCTCGCCTGATCAGACGGTAGCATTTCTATCCCAAGTGCTCAGAAACAATCACATAAGTAGGACAATACCGTAGAGGCCTTAGACCCCATGACTACGACTTCAGCGTGCTTTACCAGCTCGCTTGTAACTGCCTGAGAAGAGCAGCGGGACGTCACGCTGGTATATTTTTCACGCAACCAAATCTGTTCAGTTTCTAGTGGTTTGAGGAAATGTGGTGGGAGGACAAAGCCTTTACATCTGTGTGGGCATAACAGCTGCATATGCAACAAATTCTCAGGTATATGGGAGCTCCAGGTGAGTTTTCTGCTTCAGAGCCTCTTCCAGGGATCTGAACACAAACTGTTTCTGTGAATTATAACAAGTTCACATTTTAGGGAACACATACCCAAGCACAAAGCAAGTAAACGGTCCAGGAGGCCAAATTTCAGTTAACAACCATGACTCTGAATTATCTGAAGTTTCTTTTAACAGATTGCCTCCTAACAGAAGATGTTACCCTCTTTATCTTTCCCCATTTACTTTTTTTAATCTGACAAACAATTAAGCCAAAAGCCTAAAAGATGGTTGTAGAATCACTTCAAAACCTGTAACATCCAATACTCTTGCTGGGTCTGTGCTTGGCAGTTGGTCCCTATATTGTTGGGGTTTTTTTAAAATCATATTACAGTCACAAAACCAGGAGTTATTTCAGAGGCAAGCACAGAGACAGTGTTCTCTATACGGCAAGATGCGCAATTCTTTAAGCCTATAGAAATTTTGTGACAAGGCAACTTGCTGTAGCAATACAAATGGTAATTTATCTTGTATTTCCAAACACATTACAAGGCATGATTACAGATATTAATTCAACATTGCAACAACTTGAAAGGAGCCTTTAATAACAAAGAATAACTTGAAACCATACCCACCAGGTAAGAAAACCTTAGATTGGGTCAAAAGTGAAATATAAGTAATATTTAGAAGGTTATTTCCTTTTAAGTTGCTGAAATTTCACAGCTCTAGCAGCAAATAGATCCTCCCAAAGCCCAAATACTGCAGTGTAAGTTTTTCAAGTCAGCTCTCACTGATTCTTAGTTTGGTCATCACTCAAAGATGCAATATATAATGCTGATGAGTTAAACATTTATCACCCATTTTGATTTATTCCTTTCAATTAACTGGGAATTTTATTTATTTTCATAACTACAAGGTTTTTGTTGGTGGTGCCAATAGAATGGGTCCAAAGACAGATAGTTGAATGCTTAGATCATTACACAGCATTAGAGTATATTAATTAGAATACCTACAGAACAACTAAGGACAAAACTAATAATATTACTAAGAAAAATGCCCAGAAGGGATCAGGTCTAGCCTAACCAAATAATATAGCTTCTGCATTACTGAAGAGAATACCAGCAGTCTAAGCGATGAACTCTTCAGTTGTTATTTTCTTTAAGTCGGTGTTTTATCACAGTCAATAAAAATATTAATATAATTTTATTTCTCTCTTATATCATCTTTATGTACTGACACAATATTATCTCTACTGTCCTCAAGACATAGAAGACAATCTTGGACCAATAAAAAGCACAAAAGCACTTTCTTTGTGTGCTTTCTGAATTTCCAGAATATCTGAGCACAAAGAGCACAGACTGGTGCTGTATCACATACCACTAACTCAGAGCATTTAATCCCATCTTCCACATGTCAGCCAAGGCAATACAAACGCCAAAAAAAGTCCTCTTTGATAGCAGAATTAAATACACTGTATATTATATAAGCCTTCTGTCCCCTTCCACTCCAATGTACACTATCAAATCATTCTGGCCATTACTTTATTATTGAGCAGATGGCATTATGAGATTTTTGATAAAGAACAACAATCACCCAGCAAGGGTTGCAAAGGGGTCGCTGAAACCGAGATTAACAATTGATTAGCTTTAATGGACCGTGACAGTAATAAACAACAGAGCTCTACACAAAGATTTGATTGTCCTGTTAATGCTGCTGACACAAATGGCTTTTAACTGGCTTCCTGAAAGTGTTAATATCTTCAGAGCCTCAGCAAATGAAGGACTTTGTCAGAGTGAGAACTATCCTGCAGTGAAGAAGCACTTATCGTAGACCTCTAAAAAATCTTCTGTAAAGTGTGTTTCTGATTTATTCAGACAATAGCTCCTATTTCTCCAAGGCTAAAAGTTCAAAAAAAACCAAAAAAAGCAGCACACCTCTGCAAGGCTGGAAGGTAATAGAAATCTATAAAGCATTTGAATACAGAAGCCAGCATTCATTGAATATGATGATAATATGAATTATCACTTTCAGTACAGTCATTTTATCCTTACTCCAAGGGCTGACAGATCTCAATATCACAGCCATCTAAATTCAATATTTTTATCCTTAGCTTTCAAAATTTCACTGTTATTTTTTTTCCTTTCTGCACAGAAATCAGTAAGTTGCATCATATTTTCATTAAAATAAAATATTTTGTGATTACTGGAAGTAGCCATGGCAAAGTCTGAAAACAACACTTACAGATCTGTGTATTTTTTAGCTACATGTATGAGAAAACATCTCTGGAAAGAGTATCTGTTTCCCTTAATACTTGAGCTCAAATTTTGAATGGACATATGGCAAATATTCACAGAAGGTTTTAAAATTAAAACTAGATAGAGAAAAAGTAAATAAACTCCACCTAATATGGCATTACAGGTAAGGAGGTATTTATTCATCTGAGTATCAAGTAACACTTCCTGTTAAACTTTTCCGTTTTAGCTTAGACTATTTGGTTTCTAAATCAACTTTTTTTATAAGCAATTTTTTAAGCAATTTTTTTTAAAGGAATATTTATTTTTTCTTAAGCAAAAGTTTTTCATTCAAATATTTTTAACTGTAAGCTGTCACAGAACTGCCTTATTGCTACAGGCCACGTTTTGATACAATAACGCTGTGGCTCTAAGGGCTTCTACGTAAGAGAAAAAAATAGTGTCTGCTCTAGATACAGATCCAAACACAAACCATTGCACAAATCAAGGTCACACTAAACCCATCCCTGTGGGTCCCACCCCATCTGCAACTTCAAGTCTCTGTGGAACAATTCCTTGCCAGTTCACTGCAACAATGAGACATGCTGCTAATTGCTGTGTTTAGAAATCTTGACCTAAGCAGACATGCAGGGAATGTAAATGAAGTCTCTGAAAGAGTCAAATCCACCTGCCTGGTCTACCAACACACAAACGCTAAATGCCTAACCTGTCAAAACACTGAGCCAGCCTTCCTTAATCCCCTTTGCTGTAATCAGTAGCCTTCTATTACTCACGTGCTTGGCCTCCTAGAGCAGTTCTTGAAGCAAACTATTGTATAAACTCTTATAGTATACTCTGATGATAAATATTTAAAAAATTAATTATTAATTACCTGTAAGTCAGCATCAAACTCATGTTTCAGGTAAGCATCTTCTGCAGCTTCCACAAGACGCTGGAAAAAGAAGAAAATGCATTTATGAAATAATGGTTAACATCTTTAAATTCAAGTATTCCTTCCAGTACAACAGAGATTATTTGAGAACTGTGCAAATCATTGTCACTACATGCTATCTGCTATGATACTTGATAAAATAAAAATAAATTATCCAGATTTAAAAACAAACAAAAAAATCCATACCCAGCCCTCAGCATCCATGACTGGTAGTACGAAATTCTCAAAACAACTCAACTGCTAATAAAGGGGGGAAAATAAGGTGTTTTTGTTTTCCACTAGTGCTCAGCACCTTGGAGCTCCCCTTCTGATACCGATTTTTAAAAGAAAACAGAGTTGCTTTCACACTGGACCTTATTTTGCACATAGGAGCCCTTCCCTGCCTTTCTTAAAATTAAAATATGAGGTATTTCCTAATAATGCACTTGATTGCAAGCAACTGAAACAAGAAGTTATTTCTAAACAACACATCAGATATAACACATTAAAAAAACAGAGATTAGCTTTGTTTACTTAACAGATTTGCAGTGTTGTACACACTGCCTTAACACGATGCATAACCACAGGAAGATTTGTCTTCAGTTTCAGAAGTAATATTTACTGAGTTACAGCAATTCAGTAGTGTTTTTACCTCTTAATAATATCCAGAATTCCCTGTTGTAGTTATTGTTCCTTACTACTATCATGTGAAGGGGAAAAAAAAGTGGGAGCATTAAAACACAGCTAAGTGAAAAATTTAATTCATATAGGGGTTTGCAGCAGACATTCTTTTTGTTCTTTCTAAAGTTTTATTCAGGGTTCTTTACAGATATCCAAATATTTTAGCTGTGGAAGTAACACCTTTCTGTTTTTATTACAACTACCTGATCAAAGAACGACCTGTCATAGAATTCAAGACATTACTTTTATTTTCTTCAACCTATCAGACACTGGCACACATATATATTTTCAGATATTTTCTGTCATGAAGCAAGTGAGCTACAGGCTCTCATCAACGATGGTCAGAGAGGACAGCCCTGTACATGGTCACTTTCCTCGTCAGAACCGCACACACTTTTATCAGGTCTTTGGGCATAAATCAAAATGGAATCAGAATTCTTATCAATCACTATGCAATTTGAGCTATAATTGAAACTGAACGGAGCAAAATATTTCTGGTTGCCAATTCAGAACAAATAGTTCAAGAAAAAGCTCACTGTTTAAAGCAGAGCCCCATGCTGCGTGCACAGCCCAGACACTTCACTGCTGCCACGTGTCAAAATCTTGTCCCACGTAAACCCACCCGGTCTTAGCAAACCCTTTTGAACCAAACTGGAACTGAACCAAATGGTTCCAACACTGGACAAATCCAACCAGAACTGAACTGACAAATGTAGCAGCTCACCTTCCTGCATCCACATACGTGGCTAAAGAACCCAACAACTACTACTGCTCACGTTTCTGAAGGTGTGTACTCCTTTACTTTAAAACCATAGTTGCATTACTACTTTCTGGACATCTAATACAAAAGATTGAGTCTCTGATGAGTTTGAGAGGAAAAAAGTGAAAGAGTCAAAGTAATTCTTCGTGTAGAAACGCACACAGGGAAAAGCGAAATATGTTTTTTCTTCTGTGCTGAAATACTTACTCACCAGAAGAAAAATTATTATAGTATTTCATGAGATAGCAGCATGTAGGTATTAGTACCTAGTGGGCTAGAAAAATAATTCATGGCTTCTTCTATAGTTTATATTGATCCCAATGTGTTTCAATTACATTTTTGCCTCAGTGAAATAAATTTTAACTAAGATTTATCTCCCCATGTAAGAAATAGCTAGAGAAGCATAAGATGGGTAACAGCAGAAACATCTTGTATGAAAGGAAAAGTACTGGTTGGTACTTTATTGATTTATTCATTAAGATTTCAGTTGTTAAATCTGTTCTTTATAAAACGTTACACACATTTCAGCAATATTTTTTCTCAAAAAGGAACAGAACAATAAAAAGATGAACAATCTGCTGACATTTATTACTCCTTGAAGACAGACACAAACGTCCCTGCACACTATGTACCTTACCCTCACAACACAAATAAGAAAATTAAAATTTTCATATGCTGAATGTAGATAACACAAACATACGTTGTCTTTTCTATGTAAGAATCCTCAACCATGTTTTGCTTTCAACATCTCAACACCATCATGAAGGAGTCTGTGAGAAATCTAGGAGACTTACAGAAAATGCAAGCTAATAAGTTTAAATCCACAAAATTACATACTAGTGGATATACATAGATGAAATTGTGGTGAAGAAATTGTATACAAATGTCTGAGGTTTTCTGGAGTGGTTTTTTTTTGGTTGCTTTGGGTGTGTTGTAGGAGGAGTTTTGTTTGTTTTGTTGTTGTTAGTTTTTTAAATTATTATTTATTTATTCTATTTTTTTATATTTTTAAAGAAGTTTCCAAAGGGGTGAAGCATGATGGAAATAATTCCTTAACACTCTGGAGGCAAACATATTCAAACCCCACGTAATAGTGCAACATCTTCATACTGAGGCCAAAAATCTCTTTTAAAGTATTTTAATGACTGAACAGTTACCTAGCAATGATTCTCAACATTAGCATGACTAACAATTTTAACTTAACAGTTTATAATGACACTCTCAATACAAAGGCCAATATATTTTCATTTGAGTAAACATGCTCTAAAATCATTGCTGTAGCAAGTAAATGCTTACCAAGCTGAGGTTATCGTGAAGGGAATTGTGAGTTATCTATCTGTATTTACATGGAATTATGAACACTGAGTTACACCATTTAAGGGTCTATATTTTGTGAGTATTCAGCTCTATGTGTGGAAAGATGTTTCCATATGCATGCACAGATAAGTCAAGGGCAGCATATAACCTTTAGATAAGGAATATTTTTCACGTTCTATGGCACCATTCGACTGAGGTTCCCCTGGTTAAGGAATTAATCCTTTAGCTTTCTTGTATTTACACATATTGGGAAAGTTATAACTGACTTATCCAGCAGATCACAATGCAGCATGGATAAAAACAAGGCATCAACCAGGAGATGGAACAAGTGTCACGCCACAAAAAAAAAAAAAAAGAAAAAAAAAAGAACCAAAATGGTCACCAAAATACAATGTTAATGTTTGGTATTTTTAGCAGTACTGGTATCACAGACAATCTAGAGAAGGGTGAGAGAAGAAAAAGAAACATTTATTTCCTCTCAATAACATTAAAATAAATAAATGATAATAAAAAAATCACTGAGCTATCTCTGAATAAGGTAATTCTGTTGACAAATAACATTTTCATTTCAGTGAACTGATATTCCCAGACAAATTCTCATTCAAGTTAGGTAGTTACAGAGATAATGGAAAGAGGAACGAAACAGAACGGATGAGGGAAAAAAAGAATCCAACAGAAACTAAGGGTAAAATGGAAGAGATGGGCAGAAAGGTGAAAATAACATTTTCAGGGAAAAACATCCCCAGCATTTGGTACCTATTTTAGTTTCTGAAATATTTTCTCTTTCCATATGCCTTGTAAGGGTTTCAGTTTGATTTTCAATGATTCCTCTTTCTAAGAATAACAAAGTTTGATACAGTTTCTGAACTCCTGGACTGCAGAGAGTCACTAACCTTTATTCATAAAAGAAAACCTCTCTCTTTTAAGCTAAAAGATCTTGAAGAGACGCATTTCTATTTCATTGTTTCCATTCTATTTTTTTCTAAGGTAAACCAACTGCTATACATAAAACCAGAAATGCTGCTAGAAATTGCTCTTCTCCAAACCACTGTGAATTTCAAGAAAGCACAGAAGACAGCTCTACCGTAATTACAGCTAGTATCATAGAATCATAGACTGGCCTAGGCTGGAAGGGACCTTAGAGATCATTTTAATCCAACCTCCCTGTCATGGGCAGGGACGCCTCTCAACTAGATTAGGCAACACATGGGGACTGAATCTGTGACCTTGGCGTTATCAGCACCACACTCAACCGACTGAGCTGGTACTGATATTATCTCAGTCTATAACATTAATAGTTGATATTCCATAATACTAATATGATAAAATTTCACTTCAAAATAGAAAATAAAAGGCATATTTTTATGTACTTAAACAGAAATTGAAAGATCGACACTTTCAATTGTAGATGCTTCTTTACTCAACTCCAGGCTCATGCCTCACTGCTGTAAAAATAACCAAGAAATACATCTTCAGTTCTGACAGTTAAAAAATGTGAGCTTGTCAGCAGCCCTTCAACAAACATATTCCTCCAAAACTTACTAGACTATGCCTTAACATTTCTTTCAGTACACTGCGTGAGTCCTGTCAATTTGAGCTGTTATCTCCACGTTGTCCTGCACAATGCAGAACTATCATTTCAGGTCTATGAGAATGTCATCCAGAGTAGGTCTGACAAGGGCCACTAATTCTGACCCTGCTCTGAGCAGGGGGTTATCATAGTCATTAAAAAAAATATAGACTAACCTGTACAGGATTCTTATAGACAAGTATCTGAATGCATTCAAACAACAGCAAAAATAACTCTGAACACCAACACACTTATTTTCCCATGGCATCACATCTGTTTTGAGATTCACCTCCTATGTAAATCTTGTATATAACTTCAAGGTTGATTTGAGATACATTTTGGAAGTTAAAAGTAATTAAAAGTCATCCTTATTAAAAAGTAACAAAAAAATCTAAAGTCAAAAAAAACCTATGAACACAGGGCACTAAAAGTTTGTCTTGGAAAAAAACCTACAACAGTATGTAGGGAAAAAATGAATTTTTACAACTTTAAAAGCATGTTTCCCTGACTCTGATGTATGGAAGTGTAACAAGAATTTCGATCTTAATCAAATGTAAACAAACTTTGCTGATTAGGGCAGCAGACAGCAAAACAAATGAAAACTAATGCCTGGTTTTGAGAACTTATTTGTTTTATATTTTGTAGCAAGTTTTCTGGCATATTATCAAGCAAAAGCCAGCAATACAACCACAG